TTATGGTGTTTGTGTTATATTAAATTTTACAAGTAAATTTATTTAAATTTAAAAGTTTTTTTTTTCGGATAAACAAGAGAAGCAATAATGCCAAATAATTTAAACACTGATGCAAAGAATTGGCTATTAAAAGAGTACGGGAAACCTCAAATGGCCGAAACCGTTAGAAGAAAATGGCTTGAAACATTTGGTACTCAAACCATATATATATATATATATATATATATATATATACTGGATCTAACTAACGCCTTTATCCACTGTGCCATGTGTCCTTCAGTACATCTATGTATGAAAAAATGGTTGCTGAAGACATTAGTCTTATAGTACCCAGAAATTCATACACAGATATCCTCAAGGACACATGGCACAGTGGATAATGGCGTTAGTTAGATCCAATGACAGGACCCAAAGAGTGTGAATTCAATAACTTGTTAAAGCGGTGGAGAACTTGGTGAGAGGAATTAACAGGTGATAACTGATAACTGACAGCCATTAAACATGGCACGTGGAACTAGAAAAGTCTACCCCAGCGAGCAAAATAAAGGGCTCAGTTCGAAATTTCAACCACCCGAAGATGTCTGGGGCGTACTATGGCCGAAACGTTGTGATAAATATGGCAACAAAGATGAGGATTGTCCGAATCATGTAAATAGTGTACATAATACTTCATCTCAGAAATATAGAAAGATTAATAAATTTTATCTATTTTCAGATTCTATCCAAATATATTTTGTTTGGTTCGTGTTATCGAAATTCATTGAGCTTACGGTCATATCACGTTGAAACACCAGTTCTCGTCCGATCGCCGAAGTTAAGCAACGGTTGTCCGGGTCAAAATCTAGATGAGTAACCGCTCATGCGAATGCGTTTATCTGTAACGTTACATGAACGGAGAATTGGTGAATAATTCCAGGAAGATATTAGAACCTTCATTCGTGATCTTAATGAATCTCAATTAAAATATCAAGATAAATTTTACTTTCTATACTGATTGTTATGAGAAGACAATGTAATCTTACGTTATCTTATGGCCACATCATGTTGAAAGATCGGTTCCCGTCTGATCACCGAAGTTAAACAAATATACGCCATATACGGTAACTTTGGATGTTTGGTCAACCGAACTGTAACTGATAACAGCTAAGAATAAGAAATCTGAAAATCTAGTTCGAATCCAAGTCGGGTTCATTTACATAAATTTATGTGCAAATGCCCTTGAGAAATGTATGAATCAAGTGACCGCTTAGGAATACCAGGTTTTTTAAGCGTGGATGTTTGATTGGACCAAAGTTTAATGGCTTGGAATTGTCTCTCAGAGATTCAAGTTCCAATTCCACCTCTTCTCTCTCCAGCTATGTGTTAATTAGTAAGACTTGTATGAATAAACCATTATTAACTTACCCTAAATAAATGCATACAATCTAAAAAGCTATTTTATGGTTTTAAATAATCTGCAATTGATTGATGAATCGTAGAAAATGAATAAATGAATGAATGAAACAAAACGCATGAATTCATCTCTTCCCCTGTTCCAACTTGAACGTAAAAGAAGGTAGGGGAGACACTTTGGGATTTCATGTTCTCATAGGATATTCTTGTGATGTGGAATCTAAGAAGGGTGGAGATTTTCGTCAGAGTGACGAGGGGTCGCATGGAATGTGAAATGCCTTCTTAGAATGTCTTTCCATGGGCTGTGTAGTGTCAGGAGTTTTATAATTAACGATTGGCTCGCAGATAGAGATTTGGATTTTAGCGGGAAGATGTTTCATTGGTTGGTGTTAACCAATGAACATGTTGTGTTTAGTGGGGTATTTTTTGTTTAGTGTGTGTTGCTATTCAGAAATCATGCTGATTGAAAGGTGAATAAAGAGGGTATGAGTCGGTGACGACAGAGGTAATACAAAATGTCTTCAAAATAAAAAGAGGCATCTTCTTGAAACACAAGTGTCCAACTAAATAATGTTTGAAGTAGGAAATCAAATAATCAGATCTGTAGTATGAACTACATATAACCGCATATAACCAGTATCAAACCAGTGTTTTAGATTTGTTGGGTTGAATTAGATCTTTATTCATGTCTTCGCAAAAAGTATAATTACTTGACGATGTTTGCTTCTGTTCGGAAGTGAAATTGAGACAGCTTCAAATATGAACATTACGAAGTTCAGTTAGTTATGTGGCAGACATTTTTAGAGTTTAATGAGCTGTCTTCTTTTTTATGCCATAAACAACGAAAGACAACAAAATTAGTCCAGACGAAGAAATTTCTGTAGAATAATCGTATCGTAATAATACAATCGCATTAGACATTCAAAGCTCAATAGCCGGCTTATCGCATATAACTGGGCCTTCATGATCACGGCTTTAGCATTTTCCTTCCATTTGAGGATATCTTTCCGAGATAACGTATCCAACACATCTCTGTTCTAAAGAATTTATTTCCTTTTTTATTTATTTTTTTTTGTTGTAATTTATGAAAATTTTGTTGGTTATTTAAAGCCAAAACAAACTTTCGGATTATAAGAATGTTTTCTTTTCTTTTCGTTTTTCTTTATGAGTGATTATTGTATTAATATTTTTCGATAAAAATGATTTCCAGATACAAGTCTTACAGCATTAAACACTGCATGTTTATTAGTTAATACCAACCAATGAAACATCTTCCCGCTAAAATCTAAATCTCTATCTGCGAGCCAATCATTAATTATAAAAAAAACCCTGACACCACACAGCCCAAGGAAAGACATTCCAAGAAGGCATTTCGCATTCCATACGACTCCTCGTCACTATGACGAAAATCTTTGCCCTTCTTAGATTTCACATCACAAGAATATCCTATCAGAACATGCAAGCCCAAAATGTCTACCTATCTCCTTTTTCTCAGTGCTGTATTCCTGGGTATAACGATAAACTACATCCAGCAGCAAAGTTTCTCATTGGGAGATTGTGTGTTTGTGGGAAAGTGGAACCACTTCTCAGTTGCTACTGTTCATATGATGTATCCTGACCAGGGGTGGTAGCAGCTGTTAGTGTCCCAGCTCTCGGCCAATAGTGAACCCCCAATCAAAACACTGTGAACTATATACTAGTATATAATTTATAGACTAAAATTACTAACAATAATGAAATTAACAATTCATATTTATAGTAAAATTACCAGCAATATATACTTATAGTAAAATTATATCGCAAAATGACCAACACATTTTATTTGAAGAAGGCATACAATTGCGTTCAAAATATATTCAGTGGAAGCCATAATATTGTATTCAAAATATTTAGATTCCGGCATTAAATAACCCATAGAGATTTATATGCCACTAAAAATCAACCAACCAACCCAATGCGACCGCAACATCTCTACTGGCGATTATATTCGAGTAATCTCAATAAATAAAATGTGCTATCCGGCAAGATTTCAACCTGTCTCCCCCTTTGTAAGAGAAACAATCATATGATCTGCTGTGTCTTATATTGTGCGGCTACAGAGGGCGAATACTTGAGCAAGGTTCTATTTTCCCTTTTGTTTTTGGTATTTGAAGGAAAGCACATTTACTCGTGTAGGTTATCTTTCATAGCTGCCCAGTTTCGTATCCGAAGCATTTTTTAAAAAAAAGAAAAAAAAAAGTATCTAATTCAAAAGATATTTTTCAGTCGATACTCGTATTTGAAATAGACGCCCTTTTTAAAATTTTAAACAGTATGTATTTGGTCTATCGGTCTGCGCACTCGAGAAATCTTATGACGAAAACGTGCCCTCCAGCAGGGTATTAATTATGTTAGCATTTTCCTAGGAGTCACTTCCTTCATTCTACTAAAAGATAGAAATATCTTTGGTGTTTTAATATCCGAGCAACAATACTTAGTGCTTCAAAAGTACTCTAGTCAGTTTTCGTATTAAGTCAAACGTTCTCTCCATATAAGGAATTGAATTGATGTTAATTGCTGTATAGAACGAAACGAATGGTCATAAGGTTTCCATAAATTTGGAATTGTAGATTCTGCTTCAAAACGTAGTCGAATATGTAACCAAAGTATTACTTTTATCTTCCACCAGCATGGCTGATGCTAACCTCCAGTCGAGTGATTCATTTCGCCTTCTTGGATAAACGTTTTCAGCTGACATCTGAGTATATGAATCAAGTCAGAAGCTAAGAAGAGTATATGAAAGAGTATATGAATCAAGTCAGAAGCTAAGAAACTTGGATCACCATATCGTGCTAAAAAATTTTTCTCACCAGAATCTATCTTATATATTTGTTACATCTACCATTTGTCCCTGTGTGAATATTGCTGCCACATCTGGTTTGATGCCCCTAATATATATTTAGAGGTCCTCGATAAAATCCAAAGAAGACCTTGCAATGTTAATGGTCCTGTCCTGGCATTTTGGCTTCAGTCAATTTCATACCACACTAACGTAGCTTCTCTTTGATTTTTCTATAAAGACTTTAATTGTAATTTTTCTGATGAAACGGTACCGTAATGATGAAACGGTAATTTTTCTGATTACGGTACCGAGATATTAAACGCTTAAGCGCAGTCCTAGGTTAGAATCAAACCCTCGTCATTTTACAACTGAAATGGATAGATGCTATGCTAATAGTTTCTTCTTACGTTCTTTTTGCCCCTTTTTTCTTCCGATTTCTTGCTTCCCAGTCAACTTTGACCTTCAAAAATTGAAATCCAATGTCAATCGTTATCTTCCGTTTTCTGTATTGTTCTTCTTTTATTGTCCTCTTACCTCAATAGTAGTATTTTCTGATATTCTCTAGCACTGAGCAACGCCTTGCATCTTAGTGGCTTTATTGCCTTGCTTAAGTTGAAATAATAAAGAAATCCATTCATCGAAGTTGCAGCTATAAAGAAATGGAACTAGAGTTAAAAGGGGGGGGGGTAAGTAATATTACAACGTAATTAAGGACAAATGTATATATATATGTCGCAAAATTCGGTCCAAACAATAGGAAGGGAACGGGTTGGTCTCGTAAAATTAGGTCCAAACAATAGGAAGGGACGGGTTGGCCTGGCCCCGCCTACTTCCGGAAACACTCCTCAGCTTAACGACAGCTACAATCCAGCTACAACAACTCCACAGATCTTTGCACTCAAATGTTCCAACACCGCCTCGTAGTTCGCTACACACAACTCTCTCGAGTGGTCTCCCGCCGTCACATTTATCCCAGCGAACACCAACCAATTTGCATACGCCCAAGTTCTCCTCTCGCCAATCCTCGCGGCTACGAGATCGCGTTTCCATAAGTCCGACTCACCGTAATGGTGGTGTTTCTTTCTTCGGACCAATTACTGCCCTACACGCCAGACACAAACGAACCCTCTTATGCCGAGAACTGAGGTTAGTCTCATTTTCATGTCCACACTCCCCCCTGGTCTCAAGATCACACATGTGGCATTGCGGACGCGGTCGTTTGTTGCGGGCACTCCTACGAAGGGGATTGTCTGGACTTCTTCATCGGGACTCTCAGAAGGGGCGTCAGAACTATCAGCATCAGCGTCGGGGTCCGCAGTCAAACCATCAGGCCCGAGGGGCATAGGTCGGATCCATCAGTTCATCGCTGGATGATTCACCACTGCTGCTACTAGTCAACTGGTTCGTATTTAGGGCGGGCCGGACATCCTTCACATGGCGTGGAGTACCATCGACCAGCACTGCTTGCTCATTGACGATGCCGGTGATTCGTTTTCTTTGAAAGGTGGTGGTGCACCGGCTATTTGGAGGCTTCACCCAGACGGTGTCCCCTAACTTATACGGCCCTCGTGTTTCCCGCCGATCAGGCAGACACGCGTCAATGCCCTTGTTGCGCACTTGGTAGCGATGGATTGCATTGGCGGGTGCGCTTGCAGCAGTCACGGCATCCTTTGGTGTTGCATTATATCTATAGACCGCCTCCGCTATCGTGCACTGCTTCCTGGCCGCAATCCTCTTCACGCTTCGGTGGCACCACTCTGCTATGCCGTTGCCACTTGGCACATATGCACATCAGTGTCTGAGCCGGATCCCCCACTCGTCTACGAAACGTCTAAACTCCCGCTGCAGAAGGCCGTGTCGTTATCCGTAAGGATCTCTTCAGGCGGCCCCTTTCATAAAATATGGACTCAATTCTCGGATGACACTGGATGAGTCCTGTCTTACTAATGGGCGCCAGATTGCGAACCTCGTCGGTCCGCAATCTATCAGTGTGAGGAAATGCTGGCTGCCGTAATGGGTTATGTCCATACCCAGTCGGCCCCAAGTCGTGTCTACCCCAGCCGACCCTTCCGCCATTTAGCTGGGCGGGGTCGATTGACTGGCATGTTTGGCATTCCTTCACCACCGCTCTGACTTCACTTTTTGGACACTGACGGATTGGTCAACTGTACAAAATAGCATGTCCGTCTCACTCCGGGGTGCCCACTGTTGTGGTGTATCTCCTTGATTTTGTCCGCCGCCTTAACAGAGGCAGCGCATAGTAACGGTACTGGCTCAGTTTCTTTCTTCATGGCGCCATACCATCTCTGTGGCACATGAGTGAGCCTATCAGCAAGGTTGCAGTTTGAGGTGACAAGCACCGCATCCATAGATAGGTTGTACTCTGTTACCAGCTTTCTTATGGTCTCCAACCTCCGTCTGATCAGCATCTCGCTAGCCGCCTTGGTACGCACCCTGGCCTTGCCTGTCAGTGTGTCCGATATCCAGTGGTACACACATAACGAATCAGTGTGTATGTGTAATTTCTAACTTTCCACTGGAGTGCCAGGTTGATGCCTTTTATCACCGCATCGAGCTCTGCCAGGTTGATATGAGCAGCGTCATTCACCGGTCGCAACCAGCAGGCGTCCTCAATCGCAGCCCCATTCTTCTCCAACAGCACACCAATCGCCAGAGAGCTCGCATCCACACACGTTCAGTTCGTCTCCCTGCACGCACCAGTCTCCTTTGGCGGGGTCGTCCTGCTTTACTACCCTTGCGATGGTCTCCTTCACCATGCGAACCAACAGATCGTCCGTTGTTTCATCGTCCCAGCCTTTGGTGACTGCGCTTGCCCTTCTTTTTATGGTGCCTGTTGCCACACGAGTCCATCCACACTGGTAGATGCCCCACAAGTCTTCCACACAGGGAGAATATAGCTCGCCTCGTGAAGACATCGGGTACTTCAGAAACTGCAGTTCCGCGCCCCCATTTTAAGGTCTCTCGCCCTGTTGAACGTTCAGGCCCAAGACACGGGCACCATCCTCCAAACGTTCTGGGTCCTTACAAGTCAGACCAAACTCAGCCAGTTTGGACCTCACGCGTGATGACGACACAACGTCTTCGTTCACATATATATCATCAAGGTACGCCGATGTCCCCTCTTTATTGTTTCTTCCTGTGACAACACAGCGTTGACGATGGTCTTCATTATTTGGGGTGCCACGTTCAGCCCGAAGCCCAGCCTAGTAAGACAGTACCTCCTGCCGGCAAACACCACCGTCTGAAACGGCCACATCGCCTCGCTGACCCGGACCTGCAGGTACGCTTTTCTTAGATCCAGCAGGGACACATTGGAACCCTGATGGCGCCATTATCGTAGCTTGCTGGCACAAACGTCAGCATCTGCCGTGAACGCATCAACATGCGCGTTTAGTTCGCGGTAGTCCATCACTGGCCTCACCTTTGCTTTGTTGTGCTGAGCAACCGCCATCAGCGAGATCAGGCCTTTGGGAGGTCCAAGTTTCTCATAGGGGTAAGGAATCAACCAGCGATCCTTGATCCATTCACGGAGCTCCCCTTCGTATGCAGGCCTTATTTGATAGGGCACATGGTACTCGGCTACCTCGTTCCGCAGTTTGGCTGGTTCCTGGTTTTCCGACCACCTCCATGAGGTGATCCAAGTCTTCTGCTGCTGGTCAAATTCGACACTAAAGTCCGGCTGGTCGATCCTCAGAGCTGCGCACACTGGGGCCCTCTCCTGAAACTGTAATGCCCCCGTCTGCGTTATGTGAACACCACCTAAAGCTCTGATGGCATCATAGCCTAGAAGCAGGTCAAAACTCAGTGGTTTTTCGAACACTACTAGCGCCTCGATGTTGGCCGAGTTTCCAGTTCTTGTACGGATGTTCACCGCGCCTACCCCTGCAACACCTTCGTGTTTCTCCACTGATGGTGGAGTCCCCTGACACTTCTTCTTCCAAGTGCGGCAGAGGTCCGCGCACACTATGGTGCGGGAGCAACCGGAATCGAGAAGTGCTGAGCACAATGTCTCATTAATGTAGACCTGGATGATCGGAAGCGCCTCATCTAATTTCTGCTTGGGGAAGAGGTCGACGCTGGCACCTTGTCCCCGGCCCCGTTTCCCGCACAATCCCGGACCATATGTCCAGTCTCATTACACCGGTAGCAGCGAACAGCTGTCAGTCGCCTCCTGCAGTTCCTTGCAATGTGGCCCTGGCCACCGCACCTATAACATACGACCCCACTACGGGGGCTGGGCCCCTGATACGGTCTATCATCACTCGGCGTGGACTGTGCAGCGGCGACTACCGGTTCTCTCACCTCAGAGCTGTCTTTCATCACGGTCCGGGCACGGTCTACCAGGTCATTAAGGGACAACGAGTCTATGCTTAAGCTCACTCGCAGGAGTTGCTTTGCTCCGGTTGGGAGCCCTGCCAGAAATTTGTATGCCAAGGCCCGCTCGGGCAGTCCACCGAACAACACCGTCAACTTCGTCAGCTCGGCCAGATACACGTCGACATTTTCGCCTGGAAGTAAAGTTCTTGCCTCGAATTGTTCCCATGCAGTTGCGGGGTCGATAGCAAACGCCTTGTATAGTGCTGCCTTGATTCTCTTATAATCCTGTTTTTCCTCAGCACTGAGCTGTTGATACACAGCGAAAGCCCCGCCAGACAGCCGCAGAGGAATCACATGTTCAATGCTCTTTATGCCAGACAAGAGGCAATGCAATTCCACTTTTTCCACCCAGTCAAGTACCGGGGTTGAGCCATCGAACTCCGGAATCAATTTCAGGTCGAATCTGTCCCCCATTATGCCGAAATAGCTAGTCGCAAAATTCGGTCCAAACAATAGGAAGGGAACGGGTTGGTCTCGTAAAATTAGGTCCAAACAATAGGACGGGAACGGGTTGGCCCGGCACCGCCTACTTCCGGAAACACTCCTCAGCTTAACGACAGCTACAATCCAGCTACAACAACTCCACAGATCTTTGCACTCAAATGTTCCAACACCGCCTCGTAGTTCGCTACACACAACTCTCTCGAGTGGTCTCCCGCCGTCACATTTATCCCAGCGAACACCAACCAATTTGCATACGCCCAAGTTCTCCTCTCGCCAATCCTCGTGGCTACGAGATCGCGTTTCCATAAGTCCGACTCACCGTAATGGTGGTGTTTCTTTCTTCGGACCAATTACTGCCCTACACGCCAGACACAAACGAACCCTCTTATGCCGAGAACTGAGGTTAGTCTCATTTTCATGTCCACAATATATATATATGTTGTCATCCGCAGAGAGTTTCCCTGTACACACACACACACACACACACACACACACACACATATATATATATATATATATATATATATATATATATGGACAGGACATATATAAAAATTCCTGTATATATATATATATATATATATATATATATATATATATATATATATATATATATATGTATATATATACACGATGTAACAGCAAAATTGTTCAAATCGTGTGACAGCATAACTGTCCATCCCACAAAATATTTAATATCTAACAAGCCACTAATCTAATAGAGTTACTTTTTTACAGGTTTTCAGATAAGACGGTTAGGCATCTTCATGCCATTTTTCGTAAGAATAACTGTAAAGGCCTTTGATCTGAAGTGAGAACCAGTAAGGTCCAGTCACATTGGATTGGCATGAAGACATGAAAGATCTTTCGGTAACTTCCCTTACATCGCGATCAGCGATACCCAGGATTTACATGCATATGCTTCAAGGATATTCTCAAGGTAAATGTGCAGTTTACTAGTATCTAACCGATGGACTTACTGACATCTGGCATGTGGTTAAGATAATGTGTGGTCACTAGTTTTGCTTGTAATATATACGGGATTAGTCACTATCAAGTTTAACGCTATAGAATGGTACCAAAAATGAATTTATTTTAAAAACTTTGTGTTCTATATATTTCTGTCTCTTTGTATTTGTATTTATTAAATTTTCGAAATCTCCTCCTTCTTTTTAATAACCCTGTATTAAACATCACTTGATAGATTATACCACTAGTTACAGTTAGAGAGTTAGGACTATGTCTCGAGATAACGTACCCTAAAATCTGTTCTTAAAAATGGTTAATGAGACAGATTCAAACATATTGAGAAATTATTCTAAGCTCTCCCTCTGAATTTCTGGAATGAGGAGTTATCATTATTTACAAGCCTCATATTTGTTGCTGCTACCACAACGTTTCAGCCGTTGTGATTTCCGACCTTCATAAGGTGTGTATCGAACATGGTAACCTATTCGGCTACTACGAAACGAACCTTTATTTAATCTACGAGTGTAGATTGTTCTCTTTTTATTCTCGGGATATCGTTTCTAGTTCTTATTTAATACTGCTCAGCTACTGCTCGTCCATTTTCCACTGAGTCCACTGACCGACCCAGGGATCAAACTTGCAATTACTATGTCAGCAGGGATTGAACTCACAATAACTATGTCACACAAATTACTAGGTAATAGCCACGCGAGACAATTCTCTGTGGAGGAACTAGGGCCTTAACCCTAACGAGCCTATTGATAAGTGCTACTGCTGATGAGTGCTGCTGCTGATGAGTGCTGCTGCTGATGACTGCTGCTGCTGATGATGATGAATGCTACTGCTGGTGATCGCTACTGCTGATGAGTGCTACTGCTGATGAGTTCTGCAGTTTCTTTTTGTGCTTGACTGCATTAACTAAAATGTCTTTTCTGATGTCAATTGATTTTGATCTTAGCGGCTTCCACATTGTATTTATTTATGCTTACAGCATTTTTTTAAAATTCCATATTCTTTTCAGAACGTTACTTACGTTATATAAATTGTTTCTTTTTTTCCTTTAATATCAGTGTCCTGCAATCCTTTTCCGGAGCAAAAAATACTCAGGGATTTCTTATAAACTAATTATGCTTCTTCTGTATGGCCAGATATCATAAAAGTTATCGACGCTGTAATCAGCTCCTAGTCTGTTGCATTCACTTTCGCAACAATAATTTTTGGAAATGCAAGAATCCATCACTCCTCCCAGCAGAAATGGGTTAAATAGTGGGTAGTCCAAACTTTCTCGCCTTGGTTGATATCCAGCCTAGAAGAACACCAGCGTTGGAATCAAAACAGTAAAGAAGGCAACGAGAAAACATTTGACTATCTCTTCTAAGAACGCATGAAAATTCAGACAGGATAAAATAAAATAAAATAAATGTGAGGGCAGCTATAAACGACAGCGTCCTGACATGACATGGTATAAAAGAAACAAGTTTTCTTTCTCTTAGATTGGTTGCCCTACAAAATCCCAGAATGCCGTAAAATTTTACCTATCTATACCTCAAGAGTAAAAAAAAAATACTCATTAATTTATCAAATGGATCAAGACGAAGAGAATGCAACGGCCGAGACGGAAATTTAACTTTTTATTAATTCCATTTTTCGATAATCGTTGCATTCCCTGCACATCTACTGTAGCAATGAAATATTCTTGAGAAATATATATATATTTCCTCAATTCTTTCGATTTTTTTTGTATTTCAAAAGATTTCTACAGTTTGGTTGTTACTTCCCTCACCTTTTTTATTTTTATGTATCTAAAATCTTTTTTTTAAATTTCCTCTTCCTTCATTTCGACCCTACCTTATATTATTTTATCTTTTTCCTTTCATCCTTCTGACAACTCTTGATGTTGTCTGATTGATCATTACTTCAAACAGTCCGCCTCGTTTTGGATTTGACCATCTGAAATTGAGTTTTTCTTTCTTCTGTTTAGTCTTATTTATTACTTATGATCTTTTCAGACATCATCTGTCTTGTAAATGATATGCTGTCGCTTCTTTTTCCGTGTCTACAAACTCATAGTCTCTTTCTTTGTTTTAACTTAAATCATTTTAAATTTCTTTTCCTCTGTGTGTGTGTGGATAGATTATTTTCAAATAAGACTAATGACTGAGTTCCTGTGTGATCAGTGAGAAGTTTTATTAACCCAAACCCTATCATTAAATTTCAACTTGGCTGAGAACCCTCTTCTTAACAGATCCTGCCCGAGCATCCATCTAGATATATAACCTCTTTAAATGTTTGTGCTTGTAAGGGACACCCAACATGCAAATTTCAAATTGAAGATACCAAAATGAAATGAGTACAACGATTTAAATACACGGGAAACGTTTTAAGACGGAACGGATAGTATGACACTGAAACCAGTAGGCGATTTGAAGTAGCGAAAGATGCCTTCCAAAAGCTGAGCAAAGTATAAGGAAACAGAAAAGTCTCGTTTGAAATGACGAAAATAGTACTGAACCGTGAGGAAATATCAGTCCTTGTATATATCGGTGAATGCTGGAAATTTCCTCACAGAGGAAGAAGAAGTGACTTGAAGAAACAGAAATGTCGTTCTACAGATGGATACTGAGAAAACTATGGACCGAACATGTCAGCAACAGTGAAGTTCTAGAGAATATGGAATAAAAAAAGAACACTTATATTTAACATCAGGAATATACAGTTTATTTTTAGTATCTCGTACAAATAATGGGGAAAAAAGGCTTGGAAATTTGGATACTCACAGGACAAATTGATAGAAAGAGAGAAAAGAAAAATGCAACTTATAACAGAATAACAAAATTTGTTTAGGAGTACAAGGGACAGGACGTTGTGGAGAGCCATGATCACCAACGTCCTGAATGGTCACGACACGTAGATAGATGATATGCGGTGAATGTTTAAGAAGTTTGTGGTAACCAATATATATATCTATATCAGAACTCAAGCCTACAGGGTGGTCCGAAAGTCTTGTCACTGCTACAAAATATAATTTTCTATTTCGACGCTTTGTGGGGTATTATCAACGTGAAAAATCTCACATGGACGATACCAGAATATCGATCAGTTGGCGGACGCCGTTCGGAGAGCCTTTGCAAAAATCAATAAGGCACAGCATCGTAAAATATCACACAGAACATGACGCCGTATCATTTTAGGCCACGAAAATGATGCTGTTTATACAGACCTTCTCGCTGTGTGACAGTGTCAATGAAACTGAATCCAATACATGTCTTTTGTATTACTGCATTACTTGTTCTATTGTTCTCATTAACTTTGGATAGGGGGTGACAAGACTTTCGAACCACCTGAATATTAAGCAAATTGAGATGTTTCCAGGTTTCTCGTTTCAAAATGATATAAACTTTTATTGATGACAGGTGTAAAGATAAATAATTACAATATATTCACCTCCATCAATGCTGAATGTAATATTTCCTGCGTTAGCTTTTGCAGAAATGCCCTTATACAGGCATAAACCCCGACGTAGAGAGAGCTATCGAGATGACAACAAAGTTCACGTAAAACTTTATCTATATACGTTTGTTTATTTTCTGATTCATATATTTATTCATAAACAAGTAAATACAATACTTTCCATTGATTATTGGTTGTTTTCTTCATTTCAGAGTTTATTAAATGTTCCAAAATAGGCCCAGTAAATGGCCCTCTTTCTGTTGTTACTGTATGAGGTCCGGTGTTAACGCTGGCAAATCGGAACGTCGTATCAACCAAGAATTTAGTGGTCGCACGGCCTCTGATGAGTTTAAGAAGTTCTAGTGTGGTCGGCCCACAGACATTGACAATGTGCACTGGTGTTGAAGTTGCTCCACATCTGACAGAACGTGGAGCTGTTTGAGAAGTTTGGCCCCGGCCGTACAGATATTTTGTAATCACTCGGCAAAATGGGCGTATGGTCCCCTACGTAAACTGACCCCCTTTGATGATCGACGCCGCATGCACGACCCTACTGTCCAGGAAGCCTTGTTTTTTATTGGCTGAACAAAGTGGTTGCTGCAGATGAAAAATGGTGTCGGTACTCAAACGTGATGCTCAGTCTCAGTCAAAAGCCCTAGCTGCATTAAAAAGCTCATTGTTTGTGTCTGGTGGGGTTTGTAGCACGGGATTCACTGTACAATACTGGAACACAATCAGTTTATTGACGTTCAGCTGTACTGTCAAAAACTGCAGTATTTGACTGACGCAATTGCGGAAAAAAATGTCCAGAATCGACTGATGTCATGTTTCGAACAAACACTAAAATGCTGTGAAAATATTCTAGAACTGATTAATAAGTTCTCCATCACTCTCCTTACTTGCTCCGTTTTGTTATATTCACGAATGCACAAACGCCCTTTGGCGAGATATGAATCAACCTCCAGCTATGGGTTACTTAGTAGAACTTGTATCAGTAAATAATTATTAACTCAACAAAAGATACTTAGAATATAAAAAGAAATATCTGCTAGCTTTACATAACCTTCAAAAGATTGTTGTTATCTAGGGAAGGTACTGAATAGAATAATCAAATGAAGGGTGGTAATGAACGATAATACTTAGGACAAGAACAACACATATAAGATTCACCAGCGGCACGTAGAAGTAGTCCACTGCTAGAAGTGAGTCAAGTGAATTCCGCAATGAATTTCCAACTGCAGAGCAACATACAGTATTTACTACAGTATTTATGTGTGTTATATCGGAATATACCTATTCTATTGTTAATAGATTCTCCCACATATAATAAGTAGTAGTAGTAGCAGTCGCCAGGGCGCTCAGAGAGAGTTGGTGAGTCAGTCGATGTCGGACATTAAAGTATCAACCACCACAACTAGATTGCTGCGTCATTAACTATTTAACGTTTTGTACGTCGAACCTATTTTAGGACCCACTCAGTGAAATACAAGCCTCCACTGTGAAAATACTCTATAACAATGTGAATGGGGACATACCCATTATAGTATGTAGGTGTGCTACAACAAAGATTAATAAGCCGAGGAAAACAAATCGATCAATCAAACTACCTGCTGAATGATGGGTATGTCGGTGAATAAAACAGTTCTCCCAACAGACACGATTAAAAACACGACCTCTCAAGAGTGGGTAAACATATCTTGTAGGGTCTTCGGCCATCTAGCACATTACAGTAGATTTGGCTCTATAGGTATACAGGCAGCCAGTGCTTTCATGACACTAGGTGGAGAATTCTCTCCGCTGAAGTCACCAGCCAAGTCGGGGAGGCTCTCCTGGTGACATCGAGCGTCACATCTACGCGAACAAGACGATCCTTCAAGTTGTCGTATGTCATCTGTGGTTTTCTGTGGAGACGCAAACGTTCAGTAAGATCTACTTATACAATACCGGCTACGTATGAAATCTTTAAACCAAGTTATGTGGAAGGAAATGGAGAGATGCTCAATTGCGCAGCTATCCTACGACCGCACTCGGCCATGGAAATTATTATCATTATCATTATTATTATTATCATTATTATTATTGTTGTTTTTGTAAAAATACTCTATTGTATAATATTGTATTTTATTACATATTATGAATAAGTTACGACTCCGTGTTTCTGAAGATAAGAAACAAGGATTAAAATAAAACCTTACGTATAATACTAACCTGTAATATGGCTATCTCTATATAATTTGTTTTAGAAAAGTTCTACTATATTATCCATTAAAATCTCAATGTCGTACATATATTTCACTAAAATATTTCATTTTTCACGATAATACAGAATAAAAATGAACCGGAAGTTTTGCAATGGCGTCCTTCTGCTCCGAATTTCGGTTTCGAAAATTATTTTCGAATTACCTGTCTGAGACAAAAAACATTCAATTAAACTTTTTCCCAAAGAAAAAATATTACTGACATATCAAATATCTTGTGTAAACAATTGTTACCAACACCTGCCTATATTTTGTTTTATTATCTATTGGGCTAAAATAGTGTATTTGTAATCTTGCTCTATCAAGGTTTTTTAGCTGAATAACAATTTATGAAAACGTATACATGTGTATATGTACTCCACTTTTCGCCATTAATTTTCGTTGAAAGTGTTTTGTAATATGCACCAGAAAATACGGTAATCTTGATTTTCAAGCTTAAAAATGTAATATATGCGATACCTATAGGCTATCAATCTTTAGTTTCATTCATACTTTCCGATCCAGCATTCTCCCTACTTTTGTATCTTAAGGTCATCGACCCTTTTTGCTTTGCACCTATAACTATGTTCCTTGTACATCACATTTCTTCATTCATCTCAGAGGCGCCATATCCTCTCTTGTAAAATCTAAATTTCTCGGTACATCTATAGTCAATTCTCCTCTTTAGCCAGATCCGTTTTTTTTCTTCTTTCACATTCGCCAAACTTCAACCTGATAAATGCCTCTTCGACACTTTTTGTTCTTTCTCAAAATTCGCATTTCCCAAATAGCCTTTTTCCCGCCACATGCATACGTCATTTCCCCGCAATTTTCTTCTCTTCTCATCCATTTTAGTTGCTTCACAACAAGAAAGGATCGTTTCCCTATCTAGTAACGATCATTCATTTATCTATTCGCTTTATTTATTCTCTCTTCTTTCTTTGTTTCTTTCTTTCTTTTATTGCATCAATTCCAGTCTCTCTGAAAATGTACTTATTTTCTCTTTCTTTTTCTTTTTTCTTTCTTTCTTTCTTTCTTTTTTTTATTACATCAATTCCAAAGTCTCTCTGAAAATGTACTTATTTTCTTTCTTTCTTTCTTTCTTTCTTTCTTTCTTTCTTTCTTTCTTTCTTTCTTTTATTACATCAATTCCAAAGTCTCTCTGAAAATGTACTTATTTTCTCTTTCTTTCTTTCTTTCTTTCTTTCTTTCTTTCTTTTATTACATCAATTCCAAAGTCTCTCTGAAAATGTACTTATTTTCTCTTTCTTTCTTTCTTTCTTTCTTTCTTTCTTTTATTACATCAATTCCAAAGTCTCTCTGAAAATGTACTTATTTTCTCTTTCTTTCTTTCTTTCTTTCTTTCTTTTATTACATCAATTCCAAAGTCTCTCTGAAAATGTACTTATTTTCTCTTTTTTTTTCTTCTTTTTTTCTTTCTTTCTTTCTTTTATTACATCAATTCCAAAGTCTCTCTGAAAATGTACTTATTTTCTCTTTCTTTCTTTCTTTCTTTCTTTCTTTCTTTCTTTCTTTCTTTTATTACATCAATTCCAAAGTCTCTCTGAAAATGTACTTATTTTCTCTTTTTTTTTTCTTTTTTTTTTTTTTTTTTCTTTTATTACATCAATTCCAAAGTCTCTCTGAAAATGTACTTATTTTTCTCTTTCTTTTTTTTCTTTCTTTCTTTCTTTCTTTCTTTCTTTTTTATTACATCAATTCCAAAGTCTCTGAAAATGTACTTATTTTTTTTTTTTTTTCTTCTTTTTTCTTTCTTTCTTTCTTTTATTACATCAATTCCAAAGTCTCTGAAAATGTACTTATTTTCTTTCTTTTTTTTTCTTTCTTTCTTTCTTTCTTTCTTTTCTTTCTTTCTTTCTTTCTTTCTTTCTTTTATTACATCAATTCCAAAGTCTCTCTGAAAATGTACTTATTTTTTCTTTCTTTCTTTCTTTCTTTCTTTCTTTCTTTCTTTCTTTCTTTTCTTTTCTTTTATTACATCAATTCCAAAGTCTCTGAAAAAATTTTCTCTTTCTTTCTTTTTCTTTCTTTCTTTCTTTTATTACATCAATTCCAAAGTCTCTCTGAAAATGTACTTATTTTCTCTTTCTTTTTCTTCTTTTTTTCTTTCTTTCTTTCTTTTATTACATCAATTCCAAAGTCTCTCTGAAAATGTACTTATTTTCTGTTTCTTTCTTTCTTTCTTTCTTTTATTACATCAATTCCAAAATCTCTCTGAAAATGTACTTATTTTCTCTTTCTTTCTTTCTTTTTCTTTCTTCTTTCTTTCTTTCATTCTTTCTTTCTTTCTTTCTTTTATTGCGTCAATTCCAGTGTCTCTGAAAATGTACTTATTTTCTCTTTCTTTCTTTCTTTCTTTCTTTCTTTCTTTATTTATTTATTTATTTATTTATTTATTTATTTCACAATTCATTCTTTTATTTCTTCCTTCTATTATTCTTTCTCTCACCTTTTATGATTTTCATCATTAACCATTCTTTCGTTCATTTCTTCAGAGTAATCAATGTGTCCAATTCGAAATTCCATCATGGCTCCTGGAATCGAAAGAAAACTAGAAGACTGGAGAACGATATTGCTAAAACGCTGTGAAAACAAAATAGTGGAAACATATTCCGAATATTAAAAAATCTAGATAAGTATAGAAGAAACTCTTGTAAAATAAAAATGTAGAATTCATTCTAAAATAAAGATGTAGAAATATTTTCTTCAAGTAAATGTGTATAAATCTCTCGTAAAAAATCTAGAAAAATATTGTAAAATAAACCTTTTAGAAATCCCTTGTTAAGTAAAGATGAAATATTTTCTCAAATAAAGATGTAGAAATCTATTTTAAATATATTGGTAGAAATCACTTATAAAATAAAGATGTAGAAATCTTTCCTAAAATTATAAAGTATAAATCATAAAATAAAGATGTATAATTACTTTTCTGAAACAAAGATATAGAAATCTTTTGTAAAATAAAGATGTGGAAATCCCTTCTAAAATAAAGATTTAGAAATCTCTTGTAAAATAAAAATGTAGAAATTCCTTGTAAAAATATAGATGCAGAAATCTCTTGTATAATAAAGATGAAGATATCCCTTGTAAAATAAAGATGTAGAATTCTTGTCTTAAAGAAACACTTATAATCCGTAGAATAAAAATCTTTAAATACCTTGCAAAATAATGTAAATACATTTCCTAAAATAATATCGTTAAATCTCTTGTAAAATAAAGATTTATACATATCTAAGAAATTAAACATGTAGAAGTCACTTGCATAATAAACTTATAGAATTTAAAAAAAATAAAATTGTAGAAACCTATTACAAAATAAAGATGAATTAATCTTCTTCCTAAAATAAATATGTATAAATTGCTTGTAAAATAAAATTATCGAAATAGTTTCTTAAATATCTTTTTTTAACAATACGTTTTCATATATTAATTGAGAATCACTAATTCATCACTGATGAATGGACGTTCTAATATCTTCCTGGACGTAATTATCAATTGTCTGTTAATGTAAAGTTATAAGGTAACGTATTTGCAATATTACAAAGCCACGTTTGTTCAGGGTAAGGTATAACGTTACAGTAAAATGTTAGCAACATTATTTTGTTAGCTAATCACTCTGGTTCGGTAGGAGAAATAGGAAAAGCAGCGTCAAACAAAGAATTCCCAGAGAGAAGATCTCCTCTAGCATTTACAAGGCGATGTAAAGAATCTCTTTCCGTGGATTGAATGAAGGATTCAGTTGGAAATTTCCGAGAGTTTATCAAATAAATTATGAAAAATGTTCCCGAGTCAAACGCTTCAAAACTTGATAACTGTTGTGAATCAAACGAGGACGCAAATACAAAAAAGATCAATTTATTTCCGAATACAAACAGCACTCCCAAAGTAATGTCGTCTATTTGTTGGCTTCCAAATAACAAACAGATTACAGGGAGCAGAAGAACACAGCTTAATGGAGCCTCATTTCGGCTATAAAACACTGTTGTCTACATATCACTACCATCGCATATATATTTGTCTCCTTTCTCTTCGTTTCATGAGCTGACTGCTATTTAAGGCCCACCAGAATGTGATTTGTCACAAATATCGTTGTCGTCAACGATTAAACACATTACCCATAGCCTAACTTTGCTCACATAAACTGCTTAGTTATGTAGAAAAATCACGTGGTCGAGATAAACACTCAGTTGTGGAGCAAGCTAAGCGAATAATAATTCAACCTTGAGAAAGAGAGCTATTTATGGTGCCATGGAGCATCTCATTGTGCTAAAGTAGGATAGTTCATTGCCTGGGCTGTGATTGGCTGCTGGTACCTGAGTGGAGGTATTTCTATATAAATAACAGCTTGATTCATCAGTTACTTTGCAGGGTTTGCATTAAGTTACAACCTGCTTTAATTTTGTCTGCCAGCTGGACGTTAGCTGGGACCCTTACGCCGGTAAGTGCTGTTTATTGTATTGTTATTCTACAAGTTACAGTAAACTTTGAGAAGGTGTTGATGAATATGAATGAAATCGGTTGATTTGATTGTTTGTTTAACGGCATATCAACGCCGTTATGGGTCATTTAGTGCCGAAATTTTATTTCCTTGGGAGATCTGAAGAAATGAATACCCGGTATATGTTATTCTGTTTTCGCATTTAAATACATACTTTCGTGTATATATATGTTTGTGTGTAAATGATTACTACAGGCGGGGATGTATGTTTTATGTTGTAGATTCATTGAAGTTATATTTTGGAATGCAGTGTGATATCTTTAAGAAATTGTACGATATTATATGGATTAATGCCATTATTTCATGTTTATTTTTTGTTTTTGTTTAGTAGCGTATCAACACCTCTATAGGTTATTTAATTCCGAAATCGAAATATTTCGAACACAGTTTTATAGCTTCAACTAAATACAGCTTGAACGCAACTGCTTGACTTCAACTACAGATAAAAGGTTTTACTATTAATGTATATTGTTAGTAATTTTACTTGGAATATACAGGGTGTCCATAAAGTTCGTATGCACTTTAAAAAAATTATAACTTTATTTGTATTTGCGATAGAAATAATTTGTAAAAAGGATTAGAAAGAAGTAAATCTATATTTTTTAAGGTTTTATTGAAATTTTATTTAAGTTTCCACATGTCCTCCATCATTAGCAATACAAAGGGTAATATGATTTTGCAGTTCAAGGAAAACATTTGCCAACTGATTTACAGTAAAACCTGAAATCACATTAGTTATTTTGGCTATACTTAAAACTAGGTACATTAAACTTTATAACATTTTTTTACAGATTATGTCTATCGCAAATACAAATAAAATATTTTTTAAAGTGCACACGAACTTTATGGACACCCTGTATATTCTTGGTAATTTTTTTAATATAAAAATCTATTGCTTGAATTTTTACTATAAAAAAATAAGTATTTTTATACTTTCATAGTGTTTTGTATTTGCTTGATGTAAGATGATATTGCTGTCTTTGGATTTTATTAAAGATCTCTCGATATATAACAGGAGCACTGGACCATATGTGGTAGCAATATTCTTAGCATGGACAAATGGTAGACTTATAGTTATGTAAGATAGATTCCCGAGTGAAGCAACTTTCCTAGCAGCTGACCTTGCAAATGATTTCTAAGAACTTTAGCCTGTGAAGGCGTAATGAGTCACTTTCCTGAAGGTTAGCATCAGCCATACTGGTGAAAGGCAGAGAGATGTCTCTCTCAGATGATTATAGAGTGAAGTTCAGTTCTGGAGGCGTTAAAATTGACAAGCCATTTTTTGCCCTAATTAACCACTGGCTTGATGTCTTTCTGCACATTGACTGCCATTTTGACCTTGTCGGACTGATCAACCTTACTATCGGCAGGATATATATATATATATATATATATATATATATATATATATATATATATAGAAGAACAATAAAAAAAAATAAAATTAAAATCTCCAGACACACTGGGTTGTATATTAATATTCCTTCGTTTTTATTATTTCATTTAGATTCCTTGACTAGTTTCGGCCAACAGGAGGAAAAATAATTTTCTGCTTGTTGGTAGCAGTGAACTACAGAAATGAATGTCTTGATGAAGAAAATTAACTTTTGTCTGTAGTTTTCATTCGTTTTCTTTTTTATTTTCTATTTTCATTTTAGTCAGTTTTGTGTTGGTCAGACAGTCTCTTTTAAGTTGTTATTTGAGAGAAGAGCTGGAGGGATTCATGCTATTCTGACTTCCTTTGGTCATTTTGTCAGTTTTATTGATTCCTGGAAAGGAGATTGTGTGTGTGTGTGTGTGTGTGTGTGTGTGTGTGTGTGTGTGTGTGTGTGTGTGTAAAGAATTTATTCTGTAAGGTTCTTATTTTACACAATAAATATTCGTTATTAACATAATTTTATCCTTGATAATACCGTTAATTTTTTGGTGACTATTAACCATTATGCATTGAAAATTTCAGAAGAAAAGTCAGCTTAATTCACTTTGTTACTTCATTCACCGGTGGCTATATTTACATATATTATAATTTTACATATGTTCGCATATTCATTCATAATCTGAAAGTTTTGAAAAGTTTGCTTGACACGTTTAACCGACCCGATTAACCAAACCCACCGAAATTACCTGACATATAATTTTGTTTCGAATACCTGCTTTGTTGAATATTTAAGTGTTCAGTTCAGCTTTAACAAGCACGAGAATCAAATTACGAAGTTGATTTTTTAAAAATAAATACGTAATTTTTTTACATTGATATTCACCGTCTTCAAAACCCGAGAACAAGCGGAAGAACCACAGTTTCTGTGGATATATGGGGAAGATAACGGCTAACTCTAGTCGTGCACAGATTAAGATCGATGAAGCATCATCTTGGGAGCCGTTTCCGTAAAATAGCTTTTAGTGGGAAGAAACTCCTGGAGTGAAAATTGCATCAGACTAATGGAATATGAAGAGAATGAGGAGTGTTCGCTATAATGTGCGGAGCATTGGCGGGGTCTTAGCTGTGAACATTTGAAGTGGTGGAACTAAAGAATGTGGCTCTTCTGAGCATCTTCCATGGAAATAGCGATAGGGAAGTAAATAGATTTTAATGATTACAATGACAAAAATTACGCAGGTGTAGGCTTTAAGAAAGCTTTATTCAACTGAGAATACAAGGTTCGCGTATAGTGTCCTTTTATAGTCCCAGTAAACAGAAATAGCTGTTTCAAAGAAGAGAGTAAAAAAACAAAAAAAAAAAAAAAAACAAGCGGAGACCACTCTTGATTATTCATAAGAATTATAAAATCAGCTTTACAGAAACGTTTCACGTTTGGTATTGAACGTAGGATTTTTACTAGATTTCTCGGTATAGCTGTGAAAATCTATTGCAGAATGAAATATTTCTCTCCGTCGGACATCATTCAATATTTCATTCGTCACACAGCTGTAGTTTTCTTTTATTTCTCCCCACACAAGTAATGCTAACGCAAG